AAAACATTTAGTTCAACTTTGTAACAATAGAAAAGGCGAAAGGACTTCTTCACTTTCTGCCAGATACGGGGTCGTCCACATAATGGATGACGCTTATACTGTTCTGAAATAACTGTGTACTTGTTGCGTGCATCATGTTCCGAAGAGTAAGCCGGTAAAACATGGTGCACTTAAGTGCCAAACTGGATGCTGAAAAAGTATCCTTCCTCCCTGAAATACAAACATCTGATATTTTAGGTGATATCTTGATTTATGCATCTATAGTATTGTTTATTTTATTAAAAATGCTGAATTTCTCGGTTATCATACTGGTTAAAGCCTCATCTCTCAGTAAAGACTCATTCTTTAGTCCAACACGCTCTACAAATTGGTTATATTGAAATTTCTCTAGATAGAAGTTGATAGTAGATTTGTAGAGATCCATGGAGGAAAGTTCTAAGCACAATACCGGATATCAGATTCGTGATCAACTTAAAAAGTTACACGTAATCAAGTATATTTCAAGAAGAAAACGATTGTACACTTAGAGTAGTTCGCTCGAAAGATATATCAAACTTTAAATCGCTAAAAATTAAAGAAAATCTCAATCATATTGCTCTAATGAAGAAAAACGTACAAAAAAAAATTGTATTAAGTAATAAATTTTTTGAACATTAGATTTCCTCTTCTGGAAAGTCCAGTCTATCCACAATCCACTACAAATGTTGAATCTCCATTAAAAGAGATGTTATGCAAAAATTGTTCTACTAACATTCTCTCAACTGACTGGTAAGTTTTTCTATAATAAATCGTTTTGTCTGATAATTGTATTTTTATTCCTTTTAGTTCTCTAAAATTAAATCAAGAATCAACCACAAATTTTGATGATTTGAACGAAGTTGTTTATTGTCATCGTTTTTGTGAAGCACATCAACATGGAGATGAAGCACCTGTTAAACATAAATCACCTGAATTCAATAAGAACACGGCAATGGAAAATACAGAAATAATTATCCTATCTAAAGATTATGTATTAGTTAACACTGATAATTCGAATGTCAATTGTCAAGGATGTGGTACAAAAATTGGTTCATATGGTCTGTAAATTTGACCTATATTTACTAGGAAATATTCTATGCTCTTCTTTATTGTTTTAGACAGTGTCCATGATGTTGTTTCAATTGAAAAATGTTTGTTAAAATACTTTTCTGATTATTATTTATTATCTTGTTTTCGTCACTATGAATGTGGACGATATATAATAAAAGTAAAAAGATCAAATCAACTCATATTTCTTCTATGGATATTACCTAATGAATTATTGGCTGCTAGATGTCAGATTAATAAAAATGAAGATGCAAAAGATGCAAAAATATTAAAATTTAATAAAATGAGAAAAATGATGTTTATGAAAATAAATCATGATGATATGAATTCTAAATTATTGAATGATTGGAAGCATGATTTTTCTGTTACTACAATTCATGTTAGTGAACAATGTTTACACGAAATTGGTAAAGCGTTTGAGAAAGAAATGAAAATGTTTCCACATAGTGGTAGTGAGAATGGGCAAAAATTGTCATTTCAATCACTAACTGTTGCTCAAACGCTCGATTTTTAAATCATTTATACTGTTTATTCAATAAAAACTAATTGATTAAAGAAGAAATTAAAACTTGTGCATATCTCTTATACAACTTCAATCTTTAATCTTTTCAATCCACACAAAAAGGAGGATATTTTGTGTTCAGTGATATTTTTTGCCTGACAAATGTGAACGATTGCAGTTTCAATAATTTATTTAGCATCATACTCTACTATTTACCTTATTTTAAATGACCTAGTATACATCAATTAATTGTAAAAAAAACAGCTTTTCTATTAACTGCTAAATAGTCTTGCTCATTTGGTTAAATTTTTGAGAATTTGAAGTAATGGAAAATAAATATAAACTTGAATTATTGACGAAACTCTGTACACTTTTGCAGCGATGAATTATGAACATTATTTTGCGAAGGTCTAAAGTACAGTATACTTCTTTCAATAACAGTACAACGTAGGTTATTACCTTTTATTCCTTAAAAATAAACATCTATACATTGACTCAGATGAATTTTTAATTGTTTTCGTGCTGAAGACAATTATAGGTCACTGGTGTGAATTAGTAATTTTTTTACGACATTCAACTTGAAACACCTGCCACAGAGCAACGGAGACGAAATTCAAAAACTACTTAAGTCTATCTTGTAGATTTAAGCGTCTTTTTCATAACTTACAAGTATAATGTCCTTATATTTTGTGAAAATTTTGTTCAAGCTCGATACCAAATATATTCACAATCATCTCTTCTCCGAGAGTTAACGGTACTTAAGCACGAGAAAAAGTATTCATAATCGATATAACCATGATGCACATTCGAATAGGCGCTTCGATGAAAAGACCTAGATTCTGTCGTACGACATGTCATTTAAGTCGAAAGTGAATCATTACATCATTCTGTATACAGAATAGAAATCAAACTGCATCAGTTTAAAATTTATTGATTAAACATTATTCAGTAAGATATAGGGTGATCCAAAAAAACTTACCCCTTGTGTATTTATTGACTTTCTTGTGTACAAATATAATTGAACTTTTTATCATTAGTTTATTCAAATAGAGCAAAGATTTCTGGACAAAATGAGACGTCTCCGAGCTCTCGAAGAACTTTTTTCATGAAACAGCATTAATTTACGGAAGGTCCCAAGAGCATATTTTTCTTGTTTGCCCATTAATTGTCCCGATTTTGGTGGTATGGGACCTTCCGT